CAAAGAACAACCAAAGAATGAAGACGCAAAACAACCCGATGAACCAAAAGAACAGCCAAAGAATGAAGTGCCCAAAGAACAACCAAAGAATGAAGACGCAAAACAACCCGATGAACCAAATGAACAGCCAAAGAATGAAGTGCCCAAAGAACAACCAAAGAATGAAGACGCAAAACAACCCGATGAACCAAAAGAACAGCCAAAGAATGAAGTGCCCAAAGTACAACCAAAGAATAACGAACCTAAACAACCGGTAGATCCTCCAGCTAAGGAACCAGACGTTATAACTACAATATTCGTAAATGAAAAGATACCACCAGAACCATCTCCGGATCCAAAAAATCCAGATGAAAAGCCCAATGAAAAAAACAATGAACCTGAACCAGAGGCCAATAACAAAGATCAAAATAACAATAAACAACCAAATATTGGACCAGATGCTCAAGAAGCAGGAAATGACGAGAAAGTAGTTTATACAACATTTACAATCACCATCACGAGTATAAAACCAGGATATAGGTTAGGGTTTTATTTGAATGATTTTATTTTAATTATCGCATGACGAGTTTTTTCTTATTTCTTTTGCTTTTGTTTTGATAGTACTATCATAACCACAACAAATAATAAAGGAGAGCCTACGTCATATCAAACTTATATACCACCGACTACGGTAGTTATCGTTAAGAAGATTACGTCTCCCCTTCCAGTTCCAACCGGAGATCAAGTTGCTTTCGGTGAATCTCTCATTCTTGACGGATATCAGGGGATTTTGGGGGTTTGGATAAGTTTAATAATTGTGATTGCGAGTATGGTATTTTCGATGGTTGCGTAAATTAATTTTATAATATATATAATATATATATAAAAAAAAAAAACATTTATTAATTTACGTACGTGTAATTTATATTAGAAAGATTTAATAATACCCCTATATTAAAAGTATTTAAAATAATTGTTATGACAATTCAAACGTGACGCAACTTTACAATTTGATGGTTTGTCTAAATAGTAAAACAAGAATAAAAAATAACGTTCTTAATTTAGCATATATATTACATGAACTTTTAAGCCATTTTTCTATAAATAGTAGTAACACAACCGGAACAGGTTGAACCGGTTTAGGCATATTTTTGGAAGAAAATTTAATTAAATTTTCTATAAAAGTACATGGAATTAATTAAATACACAATTATGTGTATTTAAACATCTCTCTTCTCATGTTTATTGTTTATAAAGACCGTACTTGAATTTTGATAAACCTTGAACGAAATAAGCCTTTCTTCCAATTCATAAATGCTTGAAAAAAGTTTTATTACTTTTAATTTACCTATAAAGAAATACGTCCCTTTGTTTGTCAACATTTTCTTTTTATTAAACCCTTTACTGTCATTTGGTAGAACAAAGCCCCAATTTGTATGACAATGTATGCAGTATAACAGCGTTACAAAGCTGTCTATCATCTAATCTTTTTATAGATATCATAGTTATTACAGAATTTTCTTTTTCAATTCAAATTTGTTTATGTATCATAGTTATTACAGAATTTTCTTTTTCAAATTCAAATTTGTTTATGTAAGAACAATTGATTCATTATGGCATAGTGCGCACTGCAGCACCTTTTTTTTTTTTTTTTTTTTTAATATAAATATGACGAGCTTTTTTTTTAAGGGATTCTCCCCCATAACTCTTTTACATTTTTTGCATATTTTAACGGGAAAAAATTTTTTATAAACATGTTTCAAAGTTTTCTTAAATGGAACAAAAAAAGAGCATTATTGTTTATGGTCATTCTTACAGTATTCGTTACTGTAAGTTTAGCCGTGGAAGAGAAACGTAATTTATCAGTTGATGGGATTCGCTTGCATGAACGACAGGATGGACCAAAAGATGCACCGAAAGAGGCACCTCCTAAAGAACCAGAACCTCCAAAGGAACCTGAACCTCCTAAGGAACCAGAACCTCCTAAGGAACCAGAACCTCCTAAGGAACCAGAACCTCCAAAGGAACCAGAACCTCCAAAGGAACCTGAACCTCCTAAGGAACCTGAACCTCCAAAGGAACCCGAGACGCCGGGAAAAGAGCCAGTAGATCCCAAAGTACCTCCTAAAGAACCAAATGATGAAGGTGCAAAAGAACCGGGAAAAAATCCAGATGATCAAGGATGTGTAGATCCAGCAAAATGCCCAACTCCACCAGAATGTGATGCAGCAAAAGATCCGACTTGCGTTAAAACGCCAGCACCAAATTGTGATCCTGCCAACGATCCAAAATGCCCAGCTACGCCACCACCACCATGTGATCCTGCCAACGATCCAAAATGCCCAGCTACGCCATCACCACCATGTGATCCTGCCACCGCAAAATGTCCAACTACGCCACCACCACCATGTGATCCTGCCACCGCAAAATGTCCAACTACGCCACCACCACCATGTGATCCTGCCACCGGAAAATGTCCAACTACGCCACCACCACCATGTGATCCTGCCACCGATCCGAAATGTCAAACCACGCCATCAAAACCATGTGATCCTGCCACCGATCCAAAATGTCAAACTACGCCATCGTCATCACCATCAAAACAATGTGATCCAAACAAAGATCCGGATTGCGGACCGACTCTAAGTTGTGATCCAACCAAAGATCCATTGACATGCCCACCACCACCACCACCAAAATGTAATGCTTCACCAGCGGAATGTTCAGGTATAAGTAGTTTTATTATAGGTTAAATTATCAAGTTATTAACAACCTAACCTAAAACTGAATCTAAAAATTAGGCAAAACTCCGACGTTCACTATTCCGGATGAAACCATAACTCCTCCTCCAATGGAGCAAGGGAAGAAAGTTAATTTGGTTGTTATTACTACCACATATACTACAACTATACCAGGATACACAACTACTATTACGACAACAAATAATAAAGGTATACCATGTTTTTTTAATCAACCTTGAGAAAACCGGATAGAAAATTAACTAACCTCATATTTGTTTGATATAGGGGAGCAAATTACATACGCAACATATGTAAGTGTATAAAAAATGTTTCATTTCGAATTGTCTTTCTTTGCTTATCCGATTTTTTTTTAAAAATAAAAGATTCCTCCAGCCACGGTGGTGGTAGTCAAAAAAGTCACCAAGCCCGCAACATTGGATCAAGAAATTTCAGATATTGGAAACGTTTTATTAGATGGAAGTCAAGGTTTATGGGGGATATTTTTGAGCTTCGCTTTAGTATGCACTACAATAGTTTACATGGTATTTGCATAAAAAAGGATTGATCGGCTGAGCTAACTATTTATTATTATAAATTAGTTACTAAGATCAATTTATAAAAAAAAATATTTATATTTAATAATAATTGATATTTTTTAAGTTACGCTAATTTTTTTAGTATATTACAAAATTGGGAAATTTCGTTGTTTTAAAACATTTTTATTTTTAAATTAAAAAGTTTATAATATATTTTTACGTAAAAATCAAAATTGCAGGCAAAATTTGCCGGCGGAAATATTCTACCATTAAAAGGGAATCTATTATGATATGATTTGAGAAAATTCAAGTTTAGAAAACCTTTTCCATTTTCTTCCGAATCACGTATATTTACATTGTTTATGTAAAAATATTATTTATTAAATGTATTAAATGTATGATAATTTAATAATGCTGTTTTGTGCAGATCTGTGTCGATCTGTTACAAACGCCCACAAATCATGTGATTATTGATTACTGATATAAATTTCTGAATTTCATCCTTTTAGGTCTTCTCCGTCGTTTGTGTCAATTCCAACTTTTTTTTTACTTTCTTTTTTTAATCTATCCTTATTTATTATATTTATTTTTATTATTTCAATTTAAAAGATACAAAATTAGAATTAGATAATTATAATTTCATTTGATTATTTTTTATATATTTGATGGTATCCTCAAAAATTCGACTTACCTCGTTAACGCAAATGCAGCATGAATAACTCGAAAAGGAATTCATCGCTTTTATCGACTCAATTGAGTTTGCAAGAGGCAAAGGTAATAAAAATATTTGATTTTTTTCTTGTATAATAATAATTAATTATCTTTAACTTATTTAATCCTTTAATTAGCAATTACAAGATGATGAAATCGAAGCTATAAAAGGTGTGTCGATTTAGAGTTAATTAGCAAAAAGATGATGTTTGTTAAATTCTAATTGATTGATCTTTTTATAGCAATATATATGGATGATTTTGAACCTGTTGCGACACAGAGCGTTTGGAAGCAGGTGAGTTTACACATCATCAATTCATTTATTATAATAATAGATATTTACAAATATTTTTTTCATATAGGTTGCTCCAACAGTTCATGAATTCAAACTTCATTTGTGTCCGCATGAGGAAGAATTAAAAAGACATGTACGCGTCGATCTACATATAAAGTATATATGATCTATTTTCTTTCTTTTTTTTTTTTTTTAATCTAATTATCTGTTATTAAATTAAAATATGTTTATAAACAAAGATTTCCAAAAACCTACCCTCGTGTATCTCCAGACATTAAGGTTGAAAACGCTCAAGGACTTTCAACGACAAAATTAAAACAACTTCAAGTTGAAGTCAATAAAAAGTTGAAGGAAAATGTTGGTCAAGAAGTTGTTTTTACGATTGCGGAGTTTGTAAAAGAATTTATTACAGTGAATAATAATGGCATTCCGAGAATAGTTAAGGTACCTTCTTTTCATGCACAAATGTTGAGTAGAAATGAACACATGTCAAAGGTTGAAATTATTTTATATTTAAGATTGTTCCTTTTTTTTTTTTATTCCTTTTCTGATTAAAATCATTGAAATTTTTGTTTTATTTAGGTTCAACACGAAAAAGAAATGGAAGAAATTATTAGAGCTAAACAAATCAAAGAGCAAGAGAAATTAAATGAAAACTTGACTTTATTACAAAAGATTGAAGAGGAAACTCAAAGGCAATTGGCAAAGAAGGAGGAAGAGAGACAAAAGAGAAAACAATTGAGATTTAAAAATAGTCAGGATTTAAAGATGGGAAATGATTATAATTCGATGCAGTTTACAATCGTTGATTTTGATTCATTGATCATGTTGAATCCTGATGATTCGCAGGTATTCATTACTAACAAAGTATTGAAAAAAAAAAACTTATTTAATTAAATATATTTTTTGTTTTTATAGTGTGTACCTTTTAAATCTGTAATGCTAGGTCCGTCTATCGGAAAAGGTATTGTCATCGTTGCTTCACGTGATAAGTTTGTCCAAGTTTTATCGATTTCACCCCTGAGCCCCAATATCTTAACCCACGCCACTTCACGCCACGCGCACGTCAATTATTTCTATACATATCTTTTATTTAATAATAATTGAACCCAATAACATCGCAATTCCAATTAATAGAAAATCCATAGTTTACCTGTTACACTGTTTAAGACACAACTTAAATTTCTTGTATAAACTTGGTCAATGTACCACTTTAAATATAACATGTACTACGGTTATTTTTTGAAAATTTTAGGACCAATCGGTGTAACATATATGGTCCAGGCTACGAATTTCCAAATCAGAGGATCATCGACCTCTTTGAGGTATGTTTTAGTCCTTAAAGATATTAAAATAACCGAATCGCATTATTTAGATCTAGATGGCAAGAATAAGGTGAGTCAAAAGAATCGCTTTTTTATAATTTTGAAAATCGAATATTAATACACAATCTAATTTTAGCTTGAGGAGATTGAAAAGGAACTTGATCGGTTGAAAAAGTTACGTCATCCAAATATAGTTATCATTTACGAATCCGAGCTTAAAAGATGTCCACAGACCGGTTGGAATTTATATATTCTTATGGAATATGCAAGAGGTGGAACTCTTGTCGATTTATTGAAAAAATGTGGAGTTGTGAGATTATCGTTGGCAAGAGAATATATGAAGCAGTTATTGACAGCCTTAGACCATATACATAGCATTAATTTTATACATAAAGGTTAATACAATTGGATTTACTTTTGTACATGGCTTAATAGCGGTTCAAATATATCTTATATTTTCTATTTATTTAGATATCAAGGCTTCTAATGTATTGTTTGTAGAAGTTCCCGGAACAGACGATTTCATTGCCAAGTTATCTGATATCAATTATCACAGGGAATTGTTAGGTATCGTTGATGACATGGATTTGTGATCACTCAACCATTTAGATTAAAATTATTATAATAATATATGATTAAAATTTTAGATATGCACAATAATAATCCATTCACTCAAAATTCATATCCGGAAGAAATGAATAGATGGTCAGTATTAACTTTGATGAAACGCGTATTTTCTTTAAAGAAAACTGTTGAATATTTTAATAATTTTTCTTTGTCATTAGGCTTTCTCCCGAACAAGTATCAAAATCAAATGCTTATTCTAGGTAAATATTACGAACTATTTTTTTTTTTTTTTTTTTTTTTTTTATCTTAAAATTCAATTACATTTTTTTTTTTTTTATAATTTTATCAATTAGAAAAAATGACATTTGGTACATGGGTGTAATCTTCGTACAAATGTTATTTGGATTAAAAGTGACTCTAGATTATGATTCTTTGGATAATCTCCTTAGTTCCTGTATGTTCAATCATCATCATCATCTATATTTATTACATTTAACTTGAAACATCAATTTAATCTTTTATTTTCTAGCTAAACATGAGATACCGAATTCTTTAAAGGATATTCTCAAAAGCATGCTTCAAATGTAAGGTCAATTATTGTTAACCTTCTTCGAGTTGATTATTTGAGATTTCAACTTAATTTTTTTTATCCTCAACAAAAAAATTTTAGAGATATAAAAAAAAGACCAACCCCACTAGAATTACTGAATAATTCCTTCTTTAATGAGGGGATCCCTTTTTCCTTAAAATATATGATGTCACAAGGTTTGTTTTAATATTTGAATTTATAACAATAATTTGTGCTTTGCTAATAAATCCTTATGTTATTAATAGATCAGCAAAGTTCTGCATTTGCACTTAACAGAGAAAACTATAATGAAATGGTCAATGACAATTTATCCCATTATGCCATATCGCCACCTACATCAGTTCCAAACTCTCAACCTTTTTCGTTTTCAAGATATAAACTTGATTTCGAAGAGCTTGCTTTTCTTGGCAAGGGTACGTTTAATGTAGTAGTCTGTTTGCTACTACTTTGTTTACTACTACCTCTTACTACCGCTGCTCTGCTAATTAAATATATTATTAAATAAAGAAAATTTTTTCTTTAGGCGGATTTGGTGAAGTTGTTAAGGCCAGGAATAAATTAGATGGAAGGTTTGTTACGTTACATTTTATTTTACTATATATAGTAAGCATATTCTAAATCTTTACATATTTTAGATTTTATGCGATAAAAAAAGTGTGTCTTAATCCGAACGATATCGAGAAAACGAAAAAGATTTTGAGAGAAGTTACAACATTATCACGTTTACACCATCAGTATGTTGTTAGATATTATACGACATGGTTCGAAGGTATAATATATACATATGTATGTTTTATATTTTAAATAAAGCATACGTTAAAATTTTCATTTTAAATAGATTCTGATAGCAGTTGGAATGATACCGAATCATTTAGCGAAGAAATCACGGCATTAGACGATGAAGAATCAGAATCACTTTCTTCTAATGCAATAGATTTTCAGGATTTGGATGAATTTGATTTAATGTTTGAATCATCTTCAAATCGTGGATATTCACAAATACACTTTGAATCTGATAGTGATGATGAATTTGAATTACAAAATGGAGATTTGACAAAAGGAGGATTTGGTGTTAGAAATAGAACTCCCGGACCCGGAAAAAAGAATAATTCAAAAGAAGCGAAAACAAGAATTCTTTATATACAAATGGAATATTGTGAGAATAAAACGTTGAGAGACATCATTGATTCTGGAATGAGTGAAGATGAGGGATGGAGGCAAGTTTAAGTATTTAATTATAGATTAATTCTGATTTGTTTATTTATTTTTATTTATTTGAACTTTTTGTTTTTTTATCAAATAAAAAAAATAATAGAATTTTTAGGCAAATTGTTGAGGGGCTTGGTATTTTTTCGATTTCCTTATATTTATGTATCCTATGCAAATAAATTAAAGCTAATTTCATCTTTAATTGTTTTTAGCTCATATTCACAGACAGGTATAATTATGTTAATATTATTTTATTAGAACAATTAATATCATTATTACCTATTAATTATTGTTGTTATTCTTGTTTGATGATTAGGGAACGGTAATTAATTAATTAATTTCATTCGTATAATGTTTTAGAATAGTTGGATATATTTCAGATATTCGATCGTTGCTTCTTTAAAAAAAACAGATCCATCGTGATTTAAAGCCTAGCAATATTTTCTTGGACGCTAATGGAGATGTCAAGGTAAATTAATTCATCTAAGTTCTTTAACCTATTTATTTAAATACTAGTGTGTGATTCATTCATTTTTCTTTTTAAAAAAAAAAGATTGGTGACTTTGGATTGGCAACAACAAACAATGCTCTGTTTGATCCTGGTTCATTTAGAAATGTGGAAAGAATAGGAGGAAGCAATGAAGTTTCTATGACCGAAGGTGTGTGAATATATAGTTGATATATTTGATTTATTTATTAATTTGATGAATGTTATTTTATTCGAAATATTTAGGCATCGGTACAACTTTATACGTCGCTCCGGAGGTCACTAGTAGCGCGGTCTTTGGTACTCGTTATAGTTATAAAGGTATTCGATATTTACGTGTTATACTTTTATGTCAAATTATAAATACTAATATTTTATATATGATTTGTATTTAGTTGACATATATTCTTTGGGTAAGTAAACGAATTGAATCTGGCGAATGTGCCTGGTATACGTGTAACAAGAGATGATTGATATTCTTTTCGTATCACTAATATCTTTTTGACTTATTTTTAAAGGAATAATATTTTTCGAAATAAATTTCAAGTTTTCTACAGAGATGGAACGACGTGTGGTAAAAAATAAAATTTTATGTAATTATACATATATCAACTCGTATAACCTTGATTTTAGATTTTAACCAAAAAATCCTCATTATTACAGACAATAATGAACCTACGCAAGCCAGAGATAATTTTTCCAAGAGAATTTACAAATCAAAATAAAATCAACCTGATTAAATGGTGTTTACAACATGATGCTAAAGTCCGTCCTTCAAGTTTAGACATATTGAAAAGTGAATTTTTGCCGCCAAAAATTGAAGATGAACACCTGCAAGATTGTATTAGAACAATCGGTTTGTAATTATTATTATTTTTTTTAAAAAAAAGAAGAAAATTCCGCGATAAATTGTTAAATTGATTGAATATTTTGTTGATAAAATAGCGAATCCCAATACACCGTATTATCGAGCATTGATGTCGATTTTATTTTCTCAGTCACTCGATAAATCAAAAGATTATACTTATGATTTTAATTCGGTAATTTAATAAAGTTTATAAAAGTTTTTCTTTCAATAGTTAAGGTCGGATATATCTTAACACCCAAAGTTTCCTTGATAGGGAAATAATAACTTTGACCAATTAAGTGCTTTAACATATGTCAGAGTTCGCGATCATATGGTTAAAATATTTCGACATCACGGTGCTGTAGAGCTGAATACACCGTTATTAATGCCAAAATACGATTTTTACGAAGAAGATAAGAAGGCTGTTTATTTAATTGATACTGATGGTGGCCTTGTACAGGTAAAATATATGTTTTTAGAAAATTTGTAAATTATATAATTAAATCGATAATTGAAGAATCCAATCATTTTAGTTACCGTATGATCTAACTGTTCCATTTACGAGATATATTTCGAGAAATAACATAATGGATCTAAAAAGATATACATTTGATCGTGTTTATAGGTAAGATAGAAACATCATTTAACAAAAACGGAAATTTTTAGTTCATTCTAAATTTTAATCTTTAAATTTGTTTAGAGAGAATACAGTTGGAGGGCAACCACGTATAATAAGTGAAGTTGACTTTGATATTGTTCATAGTACTCCTGCACCCATGGTGGCTGAAGCGGAGATTTTTAAGATTGTGGATGAAATTCTTCTGGAATTTCCTCCAATAAAATCAGTAAATTATGTATTTTATATAAATCATACAAATATATTGGAGACAATATTTAAATGTTGTAGAATTCCTGAAGACATAAAAAAGGGAGTTTGTGGACTTCTTGGACAATTAGATAAGAAGTGCACATTATCAATGATTAGAGCTCAATTAATGAATAAATATCAATTATCCAAAATGGTATTGGATGAGTTAGCATTATTTGATTTTAGAGGTATATATTCAATATTTCTTTTAAAAAAAAAAATCCCCATAAATAAATTAAAATAAAAAATCCATTTTTTAGGTGATTTTGAATTTGTATCGAATTCTCTGGACAAATTAATGCCGTCTTCCTCAATGAAATCGCGGATAAGAGAAGTTTTTAATGAATTTAAATTGTTGTTAGATTATGCAAAATCTCTTGGCGTTAATCACGAAATAATATTCGTTCCATTATTAGTGTATGTAGAACAACAATTATATACAATTTTATATCATCATCTTTATATATATATATAATTTTTTTTTTTTTTTTTGTTTAGGTATAATAATTATTATTACAAGAATGGAATTATATTTCAAGTTGTAGATGATAATAATCGTAAAGATGTTTTGGCGGCAGGAGGAAGGTACGATTGGTTAATACAACAATTTCGACATCCTGTTACCTTAAGTGGAAAAGGAAGAGGTAGACAACCGATTTATGGAGTTGGAGTTAATATTGCTATGCAAAAAATTGTTCTTTCATTGGAAAATTATCAATCAGCAATGTTAAAAATGATTCTATCAAAGAAGATTGAAGATGATAGAAGCTTTTGGACCCCTAAAACGGTATATATAATATATTTTGACGTTTTGATTCATTGATTCATTTTTTTTGTTAATTATTCTGATTTTTTCTCGTTAGTGCGACGTGTACGTAGCAAGCTTTGGTAAAATATTGTTACAAGAAAGATTGGACCTTGTAAGAGAATTATGGGCTCATAATATCAAAGCTGATTTTATGTATGAGGAACTAACAGATCTTACACCTGAAATTCTGACGATCAAATGCAAAAATCAAGGAATTAATTGGATTGTTATAATGAAGCATAAAAGTCAAGATTCATATACAGCGGGTGCTTCAAGGGATGCTTTAATCACCGTAAAGATAAAAAATTTAATTAAAAAGACTGAAGATGAAGGCAAGTTGTAATACGATTATTGAAATTATTAATCTTATGCAATTTGTAACTTGTATATAACTTTTTCATAGTCCCTCGAAGTGAAATATGTGTGAAATTAAGTGCCGAAATAACGGAACTTTTGAGAGCAGATTTAAAGTATAATAGATATTCTTCAGTTACTCAAGTAGATCATTGTAAGTTGCGTATATATTCAAAATATATTAGTTTTACGATTTTACAATTTTGTTATTATTAGTGTCGCCACACGATTATGCAAACACAAGTCTTTCAGCTTCGCCGGAAGCTTCAAGTCACCAAACGAATTTATCAATAAGTGTTGTTGGACCTCTGACTACGCCAAAGAATAGTAAAAAAATGAAATTTAAACAGAAAAAGATACTTATAGACAAAGGTATGTAAATTATTACAGCGGCCTATCAAAATAAAAAACAAAAACTTAATTTTTATTTTATAAATTTTTTTTTTTTAGCAAATGATAATATATCAAGTATTATAGAACAAATTAAAGGCGGACACGTTCCGGTTTTGGCTGTAGATCTAAGCAAAGAATTACTAAGGAAAATGTCGGATTGTAATGTATTAGAGGATGAATCATTCAAGAATAAAAGTAAGTTGTTTTTTATTTATTTTGATCGGAACTTTGCCCAAAGCTTTATTTATAATTTTTATTCCTAATTTTAAAGTATTGGATATTGCGCCACTTCATCAAAAAGAATACGTTCTTGAAGTTCAAGATACACTAAAAAAGCAACGTAATCAAGAAGGGCATAAGCATGTTTGGTTACATTCACACAGGGATGACTTTGGAATATTGTATCAATATTTTAGCTAAAATTTTTTTTTTTATTTTATTTATTTATTTTTGAAATTGTAATTGTATTTGTTTATATTTGTATGCCGCAGTATTAATTAATTTGACCAAATTTATATATATTAAAAAAATTTTTAATACGACTGATTACAATACGACTGATTACATTATGATGACGTGTAACGTAAATTTTAAAACTATAAATTCCAAAATCGGATTATACACGTATTGTTACCTGCTCTCAAGAGCCTCAAAAAAGGCTTGGAACATCGTTTTCAACTTCATATTTAGTAACCTGACACATTTAAATGTGCCACATTTTTTTTTTTTTTATTAAAGGGGGTTCTTTTTTTTTCCTTTCGCGATCTTGCGAAAAAAAAATAATTAATCATCCAAATAACAATGACCAAGATAGATGATAAACGACAACATATTCTTAATCTTTTACAAAAAAAAAACGATGATCCATATAATAAGCAACTTCTTGTACAGTTTATACAAGAAGGTGTAGATTATTTCCTTGACATTAATTTAGAAAAACATCAACAACACTTCTTATGTAGTCATAAATACGTCAATATTGTCGTAGAATTATTTCCTGCTTTAGTTGTCGAAGAAAAGAATTTCATTATATTCCGAAATCTTTTGGAAAGTCACCTTACAAAGTGTTTTGATTGTGTTGAAGCAATTTATATTGGCATTAAAGAATTATATAAACGGTAAATTCTTTGAACATTTTATTTGTATATACTTGCTGCATATTGATGTCGTTTTATTTTTTTTTTATTTTGTATATATATAGTTATAAAGCAATATACGTAACGGATTCAGAAATTAAGAATACAGAAATTTTCTTTGAAAGCCTTAGAAAATGGCAAATAAAACGAATCAAGGCATCATTAACCAAGGTTGCAAAATTCAAAGGGAAAATTAATACCAATACATATGGAAACTCATCATCATCATCTTATGAAATCTATTTACCTATTATTTTTGATTTGCTTTTGAATTCCAAGTATTTTCAAAATTCCAATATCAATGAACTTTTTACTAGTATTTTGACTTTTTTACAGCAACAAGGAAGTTTTTTTAAATTAACGTATAGATATCTACCTGGAATGCTATTGAGTGCTTTACATGAGAATCAAGAAGTTAGACAATGGGCTTGGACATCATTTCAAACTATTAATTATGAGTTAAGGGTTAAAGAATTCAAGTTTTATGAATTCGATGTTGTCATGAACGGAGCTTTACAAAAACTTGTAAATTTTGGGGATAAGCAAGGCTCGAAATACCCTTTTACTAAAAACATCGTAGAATTCTGGAAGGGATTTAGAAAGATCCTTTCCCGTTTGGAGAATGAAATTTTATACGACGATTCTTGCTTAAAATATGATATTAAAGAAATTTTTTATACTCATTGGAAAAATTGCACCTATAATCAAGGACCCTTGTTGATTGAATTATTAAAAGCTCTAAATATCCTTTTAAAGAAATTGGGGCAAGATCTTTGGACGAATCATGGACATTGGAAAATTAAAATACTTGATGTATTTGAATCTTCTAATTTTCACGTTCTCACGATTACACATTCAAAGAAAAAGTTTTTGTTGGCCTGGATTCAACCTTACATCATTTCGATTATATCCTCAAATACTTTTCTAACAATTTTGGAAAAAGTATTGGATATCCTTATGAAAGAATCTCAAAAATCAGATTGTGATGATGGATATAGGATCGTTTGTTATGATATGATTTTAATGATAGTTCTTCAAACATTATCAAAGAATGGTCTTGTACATTATACATTTTATCGTAATTATGCTTCAAGGAGTTCAAAGTTTAGAACATTGTTTGACAACGTTATGTTGAGATTTTCTTATGAGGATATTAATAGGAACATGCGTAGCTTGGGCATGTCTGGAATGAAAGAGACATTACTTAAAAAACTCAAAGAAGTTCAGAGGGGAAGAAACGTGAAATATCCAAAGAGACAAGTACGCCTGATCGAAACCCCTCAAAATAATACGAAGGACCATTGGATGGAACGTTTTCAAAGACAAAAAGATAATGAAGCTCGGTTAACGCCAAATTTGAATCCTCTTTATAAGAAAATATTATCATTCGAATTCACCATAAGCAGCGAGATTCCGCCAGACACTTATCTACGTGATTATGAAACGATTCCAACCACATTTTCATCAGCGAGACATTATGTTCAAATTTTTGAACCGCTTCTAATCTTGGAATGCTGGCATCTGTGTAACTCAAAAAAAAAGGTGAACGATCATGCTAAGTTTGTCATTTTCGTGAATGATATTTGTATGGTTGACGATTTCATAGATGTATCATTCCATTGTGAAGAGCATGATTTGAATCGCTTATCGGAAAACGATTTGTTATATATTCGTTATGAACCTTCGGAGAAAGATTCTGTACAATATAATATTCCACTTATCCAAAGCATAGCTATATTCAAAAACCAAAAGTTTTTATTGCATTTAAATGAATCTTCTCATAACGTTCGACGCTTTTTATTTAAGGGTAGTAAATGGATGGCACATCGGATTATGAGGTAAGTATCAAATAATTTTTGAATTTTCATTTCGTAACCTTTCTTTTTTTTTTTTTTTTTAATAGGAAATATAAAATTTATTTATAGTTTAACGTCTATTATTCGAGAATATGCAGCCTTAATTGCCATGCATAAATTCTCATTGAAGGGTCAAATTCTTTCACCAAGAGCTTCTATCGTATCATCATCCGCTCAAAAAATCAAATTTTACAAGAATAATTATCATATTAATGAACACCAAGCAGAAATCATTGGCAATATTCTAGAAAATGATTGTGGATTTTCATTAATTCAAGGTCCACCAGGATCTGGAAAATCGGAAATGATAATTAGTTTAATTTCTGCTTTGAGAGATAGTTCGAATTTTCAAGGAAAAATTCTTGTTTGTGCACCTAGTGATTCCGCTATAAATATCTTATTGAATAAATTCAAAGATGGAACAGGAAATGATATTAGGGTTAATATTATATGCTTGGGAGATTCGGTTCCTAACTTAAATGTCTCTTTGGATTTTTGGGCTGAAAAAATGATGTTTGATATAAAAGGAAATAGCAGTAGAGACCTATTGTATTATAGAAGAAAAGTGCTAGAAAAGGCGGATGTAATATGTTCCACATTGATCGAAAGTGGTAATGAAATTCTTTCAACTACGGATATTTATTTTAACACGATCATAATCGATGATGCAACTCAAGCAATTGAGTTGAGTTCGTTAATACCTCTAAAATATAATCCAAAACGGGTTATTCTGATCGGAGACCCACGTCAGTTACCTCCAGTAATCTCATCAAAATTTGTAATGCAATTTTCCTATGACAAGAGTTTATTTGCTCGTATACAAAAGAATTCTCCATCATCTACAAATCAGCTCACGATTCAATATAGGATGCATCCAGAAATAAGCAAATTTCCCAGCCAGTTCTTCTATGATTCACTTATTAAAGATGCCGATTGTTTATTACAAAAACGAAATCAACCATGGCATCAGGGTCAATTTTTTTCTCCTTACAGATTTTTTGATGTTAATGAGATAATAATTGAAAACGATTTGACATGTGACAATGCTGAAGCAAAAATCATCGCTAAAGCATGTAAACGACTGATAAAGGACTTTCATCAAGTGGATGTAAGTTTAAGATAAAAATGAATCCGACCTCTTATTAAAGTTAATTATTATTTTCCTTTTTTTTTAAAAAAAAAAAAGTTTGACGGTCAAATCGGAATAATCGTTTCTGATAAAGATCAAAAGTTTAACATTTTACGAGAATTCACAAGAGATACCGTTATCGAGCTTGAAATCGATACATTAGTAAGCTTTACCTTAGTGACATAATCACTCGTGACTTTTTTTAATAATTTAATATTTATAATGATAATTATACAGGATACATTTCAAGGACGAGAGAAAGATATTATAATATTATCATGTTTTTGTCCTTGCAAAGGTGAGGGAAATCGATATTTTTGCGAAAATAAATTTAATAATTAACTTGAATAATTTTTATCTTAGAGAATAATATCGGATTTTTAAACGATTCCAAAGGATTGAACGTTGCACTTACTCGTGCAAAATGTTCTTTATGGATCTTTGGCTCCTCAAATACTCTTGTGCACAATGATTCCTGGAAATCATTGATTGAGGACGCCAAGAATCGTGGATGTTATACAGAGGTTTGCCTCATAATTTTATTTTAATAACTAATAGGAAGAAGATTATTTTAAAATAATTTTATCCTATTTTATTATTATTTTTTAAGGCGTCTGAAGGAATGTTTTATGTTGTAGAAGAAAATGATGATGTATTTGATGAAATCTCTCTTTCGATGGAAGAGGATGAAGATGATATGTTTATCGAGATACAAGATGATGACATGTCATCTATTCTGGAAGATTCAGAAAAGATAGTTGAGTTAAAAGACAATATGGAAAATGATGAACCAAATGATCGATTAACGTTACCATCTGGAGTTTTTGCTCGACTTAACGATTCTGTTCCGACAGGTGAAGTTTCTCGATATTTTTCACATCCACCGGATCATAGTCATTGTGATTGGAGACCAGTCCATCATCAGAGACATTTTCAGATCAACGATAATTACAAAAATCATTATCAAAACCCATATAATTATCGAAATCATTTTCCAATTGATGATAATCATCGTCAACGTGTAAATAACAGTAGACGAAATAAATATCCAAGAGTTGAACGTGAATCGACAGAAAGATCACGATCTCCAATAAAGAACGATGTCCAAGATAACAAAAGAGATCGTTCATCGTCACCAGAAGAAGGTCCAAGTCGACATAGAAGATTTCATAATGAAAGAAATTATAATCGTACGTAATATAAGCTGTGATCCTCCAAAACATTTGGAGTATGATGGTGGTTAGAGAGCGCCATTATCAGATAGAGATCTTTACTTCCATAGTATTTCTATCTTAAAAAAGAAATAACGAGAAGTAATATTATAAATATATTTTTTTATTTCGCGGTCATGGTCGGATAGCAAAGTTTATTAAATCATATATGTATATAGTACATCACTAGAATTTCATAACAGGCATCTTCGCATATTCGCATACTTGAATTTAGAATTCACGACGCTTTTTCGGTTTAGAATCATTACTATGAATATAGCAATTTTTTTATTACTGTATATTATTATTTGGTCAAAGGTTTTTGACATAGATATTACCATTGACTTTACATGTTGTAATTTGTAATAAAAAAAAAAAAAAACCATGCATATACACATACATTTGGTATTTTCAATTAACTCTTCAGTGCCCTTTTTTTTCTTTTAACATTCTTCTTACTCCTTGACCTATGTGTGATTAATAATATCACAATGGGCAGTCATTTTAAATGTGAAAGTTCTTTAACAGTATACGAATCCTATAGTATGATAAATACTTATACTATGTTAATAAAGTTGACCATTGTTGAGATATTTCCAATTTATGTTGTTATATCTCGGGAAAGTATGTTATCGCTTTCATCATTAAATGCATTTATTAAACTTAAAAAGTTTAAAGTTTATTTGGTTCCTTTAATATTTTGAGCCGTGAAGATAACATAAAAAAGTCAAGAAGCTTTTGACAAATTTCTTATCGAATAGAACTTAAGTAAAAATATTAGTTTTATGTCGTTTCAATTCACTTATAAACAAAAAATGATTCCAGAGGGTAATGTGACGGATGGAGAACAACAATATCCTCCCGTTATTATTACGTCCTATAATGATGTCTTCTATTAATTTTACTTGCATTTTTTTTAAATCTCTTCCACTTCAATCACTCTTCCTTTATGTCTTTTTTCTCAAATATTATATATGGCAGTGGTTGTCAAAGTATTGCATCACCGAACACATCATAAAATTGGAGCAGTGTTAAAAAACTTTATTTTAGACTTATCATAACGAATCAATTTAGTGGTATAAAAATCGTTACGCAGGATGAATAAAACTTTTTAAAAATTATAATTTCTGTAATTATGCGATGCTTTCTTTTGACCGAATTTTATTAAAATATTTTATGTAATAAAAAAAAAAATTTTATTATTTCAATTATAACAAAAACTTTTGGAATAGCTCTAATTACATCATTTATACGAGTTGGCATAGTATCAACTAATACATCGGACCCTGTGTTCTAAAATGTGTTTCAAGCCGTCTCAAACGACGGTCCATTTCATTTCAAAGATGATCTATTGGATTAAAGTCAGGGGACTGTGCTGGCCAATCAAAAAATTTATCCATATTATCTTCAAACCATTGCTTTGGAGATGTGCTGTATGTTTAGGATCATTATCCTATTGAAAAATAATATTTTTCCTTATCTATTCTATGCACACTTGATGGTTTCTAATAGGTCTTTCTTTAAAATATAAATCACCATTCATATGTCTATAAATCTAGCATAAGTTACTAACTCCACTAGATGTAAAATACCCCTTTATCATAATATTATCCCATCTAAATTTGACTGTTAGTTTAACATGATAATTGCCTAATGGTTCACTTGGAATATTCCATAAATCATATATAGGCTGATTTGACTTAGGGTGGCCCATTTTCTGCGGCAGCATAATATGTGCAGAAATCATGATATTTCACAATAGCATATGCTGTCGCAGATTCAATTAAGTCCACATTTTTCGCATATCATATAGCATATCTACAGTTAAGATCTATAGATTAAGATCATGATGTGAGATGTTTGTCATTTTTTCACCATCTTTTTTTTACAATAGTTTTGGCAATTGAGTGTAGACTTGAAAACTCTGAATATAAAAAGAATTTTTATGTTGATGGACAAAAATTGTTTTGTGAATTTTGCCAAAATGTCTTAGACTATAAAAAAAATCTACACTAGATACACATTTAAAATCGAACAAACATAAAAAAATATACGCAAAGTTGAAAATAAAATAAAAGCTCATCAAATCACTCTCAATGCTAATAATAATGAGTTAAATGAATGTGAAGTCTTTAATATTACTTTAGTAAAAGCATTTACACATGCAGATATACCACCTGAAAAAGTAGATAAACTTAAGGATTTTTTTTGGAATTTTGTAAAAATGGTATGTAAAATCTATTTTATATTTAATTTATCATTTAACATGTTATTAACTTACTAATTATATTATAGGTGGAGCTATTGCAGGCTCTTCTTTATTACGAGAAAATATTTAGCAATTGTCTTTAATATGGAAGTTTCTAGCATGCAAGAAATAGTATATAATAAACGTATATCTATTACTATTGATAAAACAACAGATGTTTGTGGTTGAACGGCTGTCAATATAATGTTTAGTTTTGGTAACTAAACTAAATTAGTTAAAACAGAATTTTTGGATAATACTGTTAATAGTACTATTATTGTTCAATTAGTTATAAGAACCTTACAATTTTATAATATTTCTCATAATAATCTTATTTTTTTATTTCTGATAATGCAGCATATATAATAAAAGACTTTCAAATATTATCTTCATTAATTCCCTAATTAAAGCATAACCGTTATTTAGCTCACATTTTAAACTTGGTTGGAGAAACATGAATTAGTTATAAAAGTTTCAAATTTCTAATTAAAATTGTAGCAAATATAAAAAATCATTTATTTATTGTCCTGCTCGTAAAAGAAGATAGACTGTTTTTTTAAATTCCTTTATTTCTTTTACCATAACTCCTTTTAATCAAAATTCAATTATATTATCACCTTTACCTATAAAAACTCGTTGAAACTCATAGTTTAAGTTTATTTTTTGGATTAACTAATATATACTACAATTATGTAAATTTTATATTGAAGAATACTATAAGAAATACTTTAATCTAAGAAGGAGGGTACTACGCTATACCATATAAGATCTACTATTTAAAATTAAATTAACCAATAAGAAATTTAAATATTTGCATGCATATAACATGGCTTAGTTTTTTAAAAAATTTTTTTAAACGAAAATTTTTTTTTTTAAATAAAATTTTATTCTTTTTAAACAAAAATTTTTTTTTCAAATGTAATTTAAAAATTTACAACAATTTTATCATTTATCACTGATCATTTTATAACCAAAATGATATATCATAAAGTGCATTTTAAAACCTTTTTTTTTCATTTCGCATTTTAACTTGTTTTTTTTATGTTTTCCTTTTCATTTTTTTTTGATATGATTGCTCACCGAAATAAATTTGCTAATAAAAGAATAAGAGTAATAACAAAACAAAAAAGACAATGATATGCTAGAGAAAAGTTACTTGTAATAAAACATGTAGAACAATGTGAAAGTAAACGTTTAACTGCAAAATGATTTTAAATAGAACTAAAGCAAGTTTAAGATTAGATAAATCAAAAAACTAAACTTGAAAATATAGCACCATATATTTAAAAATTACATAAAGGCAAAAGTTCAGCTTTTTCAGAACTTGAAAAAGAGCTTTCTTTATAGGTGATTGATTTGTGTAAAACTGCAAAAGCTATTATATAAAATATGGTAGTTAGAAAAGCAAAATTATTTGCTAATGAAAAAAAATGAATAGATCTTTATGCAGATATCAAAGAATTTAAATTTTCAGAAGCATAGTTAGAGAGATTTATGAAAAAATACAATTTTACTATAAGAAGAAGAACTCATATTGCTTAACATCTTTCTGAAAATTTTTTAGAAAAGTAGCAAAACTTTTTAGCTTTTATTTTATATAGACGCATTTAATATGACTATTCATTAAAATACATTGGTAATATAGATGAAACTCCTGTTACATTTGATTTACTTATTCAATTACTTTGGATCATTGTGATACTTCAACTGTTAATATACAAACAATAGATCACGAAAAGTCAAACTTCACAATTATTTTAGAATGTATAACTGATAATACAAAATTACCAGTAAAGTTCTGAACAGTTCAGATTAATCCGAAAATTTTCAGTTTAGATCAACTTCAGTTCAGTTTCAGATTGCAAAAAATTCAATCTGAAAATTTTCAGTTCAATTCAGATTTTTTTCAAATTATAAATCTAATCTGAACTGAAAAAAATCTGAACTGAACCGAAAATTTTGAATTAATCCAAAATTTCAGATCATTTAGAATGATTAAATTTATCATTCTTTTGAAACGATTGAAGTTATCATTCTAAATGAACGATAAGAAATTGTTCGATTAAAACGATTAAATTATTGTTTCAAAAAAATGATAAAGGATTGTTCAATTGAAACAATAAAATTATTATTCTAAACGAACAATAAAAGAATCATTCATTTGGAATGATTGAAGTTATCGTTCTAAACGAATAATAAGAAAATCATTTAATTAGAATGATCGTTTGATCAGAATGATGAAATTATCATTCTAAATAAATGATAAAAGAATTGTTCAATTAGAACAATTAAATTATCATTCCAAATGAACGATAAGAAAATCGTTTGATTAGAATGATAAAATTATTATTCTAAATGAACAATAAATAATCGTTCAATTGGAATGATTAAATTATCATTTTAAACGAACGATAAAAGAATTGTTCAATTGGAACAATTAAATTATCATTCCAAAAGAATAATAAAAGAATCATTCATTTAGAAAGATTGAAATTATCATTCCAAATGAATAATAAAAAATCGTTCAATTGGAACAATTAAATTATCATTCTAAAAGAATGATAAAAAAATCATTCATTTGGAATGATTGAAGTTATTGTTCTAAACGAACGATAAGAAAATTGTTCAATACAATTAAATTATCATTCTAAAAGAATGATAAAAGAATCGTTCATTTGGAATAATTGAAATGATTAAATTATCATTCCAAAAGAACGATAAAAGAATCATTCGATTGGAACGATGAAATTATCATTTTAAATGATCCAAAATTTCAGATTAATCTGAAATTTTCAGTTCAGTTCAGATTTTTACCGGTTTACAGTTCAGTTCAGTTTTGGATTGGCATTTTTAAGATTTATAATTCAAACTGAACTGAATCGAAATTTTTGGTTTGATTTTAGATTGGCCTATAATTCAGACTGAACTGAACCGTTCAGAGCATTAATTACTAGCAATTTGTATTTTCAAACCTAAAAATATTCTAAGAGAATCATTTCATGAAGGAATTTTATTTGTGTTAATGATAAAGAATGGTGTAATAAACAAGAAATTCTCTGGTGAATTGAAAATGTATAGACTCAAAAAAATTTATTAAATAATCCAAGATCTTTATTAGTTTAAGATTCTTTTCAAGAACGTCTTGTGGATTCAGTAAAAAATAGGTTTAATGAAAAATAAACAAATATTGCAGTTATTCCTGATGAGCTTACAAGTAAATTACAACTATTAAATGTAGCAATTAACAAAAGTTTTAAAGCAAATCTACGTCAATATTACAATGATTAGATGAGTTCTGAAGTTTATGAATTAACACCTTCTGGAAGAATCAAAAAACCTTCATATACTAATGTTGCTAGTTAGGTAAAAAGATTATGAGATGATATTAATATTAATTTAATTCAAAAATCATTTAAATGTTGTATGTGATATTTCTATTGTTAGAGATAGTATTGAAGATAATTTGGTATTTGATTATGATAGTTTGCAAAAGAAAAAAAATAAAAAAACTGAATTAATTCATATTGATAATAAAGAAAATCAAAGTAATAATAAAGAAGAAGATAGTCATGATAGTGATACAGATAATATAAATGAATATGAAAAACAAGAAATAGATTATAATAATGAATATGATTCATAGATTAATTTGATATATATATATATAATTTTTTTTTTGATTTTATAATAAATTTTGATATTTTTTTATGATTTATATAAATGCTACAGTATATAAAAAATAATCAATGTATAATACCCTAGGTATTATACAAATTTTCGCAACTTTTTTTCAGTCTTATGTATAATACCTAGGTCTTTTGAACTAGATTAGTCAACTGTTTATGGTATATAAGAATGAAGAATTTATTGTAGTTTGAAAGAAAAGTTTGATGATAGTGAGTTTGATTTAAATATCTATTAGAAAAATAAAAGTAAAAGCTTACTAAATTTAGCAAGACTAGCTTTAGAATATATTTGACTTCTGGTATCTGGAGTAGATATAAAACAAAGTTTTTCAGCATATACCAATATTTATAATGATAAACGGCATGCACTTTCAGAAAATTCAATTGCTACTTTGAATTTTTTGTATTTTAATAATCAAAATTTGTAATTGCAGTATAATAATTATAGATTTTAAATAAAGTAATTTGATGAAATTATCACATTTTTTTAAAAAAAATAAAAAAAACAAAGCATATTTTATAAAAAATTTTCAAATATACTTGCATATCTAACTATATAAAGCAAGCATATTTTGAGTTTAACACTACAAAAAATGGGCCATCCTAATTTGACTCTATATGATTTATTTATATCACTTATGCAACAGAGTATGATATTTAAAGGATATAATTATGATTGGTAAATTAATTGATCGAAAATAGTCTAATACTAAAAAATTAAACAATAATGAACGCGTTAAATATTTTTTCTAATAAATGCTTACTTTGCCAAAAAGACTTTTCTCTAGAAATAAACTTTTAATACACGAAAGGAACAAGCATTAAAATAATAAAGTTATACCCCACTACATTTCACTTATTTTACCCTCTTTTGAACATGTTGTTTATTATCAAGATACTTTCATAGTTTTTATTAAAAAGTAGCTTAGTTTTAGTAAGCATTCTATCAGTTCAAAATGAACTTTTAATAGATGCTTTTCCAGAAACTATTTTTATTCATTTATTTGAAAATGAGCCTACTTTTCAATATAGTCCAGTAAAATGAAAATACTTCTATCAATTTCAAGAAAAGAGAGACTTAAATAAATACTCAATTATAAATATTAGAGTTTTAAGCAGAATCCTAAAACAAATATTACAGGTTATATTTTATTTGTTAATTATGAGAAAACATATAAAGTTAATTTTAGTTAGTATTTAGTATTTCATTTATAGTCTCTATAAGTAATAATTATTAAGATATTAATATTAACTTCTAATTAGAATATTATTAGAATTAAACAAAAGTGAACGGTCTTTTCAGTGTAGCATCACGACTTATACATTTATGACTGATTCTAGAGAATTTGTTATTGAGTATATATATATATTTTTTTTTAATATAAATTCATAATATTAAATATTTAAAATTATTAATAATATTTTTTAATTTTTTAGAAATAAACACAAAACAAATAAATATTCAAACTCAAGTCAGCTACCAAGATATAGATTTATTTTACCTCATATACCACTTCAATAATTATGTATTAATCATAAAAAATAATAAACTTTTTACATTTAATTTTCTTTATTTGCATCAATATTTCTAGTAGCAAACTTTTTAGAAGTATTGTTAATTATATAGAATAATTAACAGTTTTCAAAGGATATTATGTTATAATCTACTGATTTTTTATCAGTTTTTTCACCTATAGTTGTACCTCCAAAAAATGAACAAACCTAAAATTAAAATAGATTACTAATATTAGTAAAAATAAAAATGTAAATTTTAAATAAAAAATATTATAATCTTTGTAAATACCTGATTATGATTTTTCTTTTCTATACTTAAAGTAGAAAAAAATAATAAAGAAAGATTTTTTTCTTTTAATTGTCACAAAAATTGAGATATTGAGAAGAGACAAAAATATTGCACAGTCAAAATTTATCTGATTTAATAAATTATTAATATGTAACTGGCTATGTAATTTGTATACTATATTTGCTATATATTTCTTAAATAGATTATTTGTTTATTATTTTGATTTAATATGTTAAAGATTGCAAAAATCGGATTTGAAAATCTCTACTATTTTCTACTTTGCACATATGATGGGTCTCATTAAAGAATTAACTCCTATACAAAAGGAAGGCATTATTGCAGCCAAAAAATTAGGTCATAACAATACTAAGATTACAAAAGCTATAGGATGTCATTAAACAACCGTTATAAGATATCTTGCAGCTTATAAATCAGAAACACTTCTAAAAAATGACCAGGTTGACCCTGCTTGATCAATAGCCAAAAAAGGCAAAGATTAAAGGCAATGGTTCTCAAAAATAAAGAACTAAGATGAAAAAGTCTAATATAAATTACTAATATATTTTCTGCTAAAATTAATAAGCCAATCTTTATAAAAACAATTCGTTGTGCACTTTACAAGAAAAATATGCATTCCTGTATTTCTCGAAAGAAGCCTCTCATCTCAGCAATCAACAAAAACAAATGACTTGCATGGGCAATAAAAAGAAGATATTGGACTATAGAAAATTAGAAAAAGATAGTCTAAACAGATGAGTCTACATTTTCACAATTTCAAAAACTGGATGGGAAAGAATGTGAAGAAAGCCAGAAGAAAAATTTAATAAAGATTGCATTGCATCAACAGTAAAACATTCTCCTCAAAAAATGTTTTAGGCATATTTTTCTTTTTAAAATTAGGTTCCATTATTTTACTTGAAGGTTCAGTAACTGGAAATATATACAAAGAGGTGCTTTCCACTTATGTGGTTTTCACACTCAAAGTATTTTCCCAGAAAACCAAAAAAAAATTCATTTTTCAGGAAGACAATGTACCAGTTCACACATCAAAGGTTGCACAAGAGTTTCTGCATTCTCAAAATATAGAAGTGCTTCTATGACCTGCTCAAAATCTCAATCTCAACTCAATTGAGAACCTGTAGGCTGTAGTTGAGGTGAAAATTTGAAAACACAACTCTCAGCCATCAAGTATTTATGAATTTGAAAAGGTAGTAAAAGAAGTTTGAAAAGCAATATCACAAAAAATATATCGTGACTTAGTGCAATTAATGCCAAATAGAATTCAGGCAGTAATCGATGCTAAAGGAGGACATACTAAATATTGATGTATTATTTGTAAATATAAAAAAAAACTGACTGCTATCCTAATAAAAAAAAATTTATTGCTAAAATAAAACCGTATAATATCTTTGTCCCTCAGTATGTGTTTTGCAAAAACATGCATATATGAAGTAATATCTTCTTTTTGATATAAAGCAGGAATTTGAATAGAACTATTAATATCACTTTAAGTTGGGCAGCAAAATATACAAATCCAATTTTAAGTATCAATTTCAAATTGATCAATTTCTTGATCTAAAAGATATTTTTTATGTAAAATTAAATATAAATGATAAAATTCTCTTTATAATTTTTCTATCTTATCTATGAGTACCTATAATAAATTATGATACTGAAAATTTTTCTAACATTTTTTTTTTTTTATTTGAATACATTAAAGAAGTCCAGTTCTATTATTTTCCTGTTAATTTAGATTGAAAAAATTCAAAATGAATTTTAATATTTTTAAATACTATTTCAATTGCTAGTTTAATTTGTTTTAAAATTCTTTTTTTTTAATTATATCAGCAAATAAACATCTGATATATGTAAAATAGATGTAACTCATCTAGAATATAATTTTTTTGATTAATTGCTAGAAATAAAAAAGATTTTTTTTTTACCTAATTATTAAAAATCAATTAGAAATTATATAATAATAATATAATAAATTAAATATATTAATAAAACTTATATTTTGTATTTCCTATATTATTTCATATTTTATTTATATCCCATCTTGATATTACATCATAATTACAGTATAAACAAAAATATTTAGAATTAGACACATTTAATCCTATAATAATATATATAAATTTCTAATCTTTATAGAAAAATAATTCAATTGGCCAATGAATATTATCTTGATCAATAATTCCATTATTTTTTAAATCAAATAATTAATATTGAAATAATTTTCCAATTTTTGCTAAATCATCATATTTTTTACATCCAACATAAAGACAAAAACTATAATTTAAATAAAATAAATAAATTGATTAGTAATTTGAAAATAATAAATATTTAATAATAAATAAAAATTTACCAATATTGATGATCAGATTTTAAAACTTTTTTTTTTCATTTAATAAGCAAAATGTCATCATTACATACTTTTGTTTACATTCTACATTTCAATCATCACCACTAATTTTAAGATTAATTGTATCTCCTTGATTAAGAATAGGTAGTGAAGTATTTTTTCAAACTGAAATTAATACTTTAAGTAAAGTTTGAATTAATCTATATGCATCATTTTCAATTTCAGTTTCTTCAACTAATATTTCTTCATATTGTTCTGATACATTAAAATCATTAATATTATTATCAATATTAAATGTTCCTATTTTAATTTTATTATTCATAATATTTATAATTTTAATTTTATGTTTTTCAATATGATATTTACGAATAAGATAATATTTAATTACAGATAACTAACAATAACTATCCCTTACCAATAAATATTCATTATATGCTCATATAATAATATCTAATTTCTTAAGTTCAATATTATGTTGATAGGATATATTAATAGTTTTACCATTAAAATCTAATTCAATATTACATACATAAACTATTAGTTGATCTGTTTCTGTAATCATATGATATTTTTTAATTAGTGATGAAAGTTCTTCTCCAGAATTTTTACTAAAAGCTGCAAATCATTTGTTTTATCTGATTTAGTTTGTATTATAGAAAGGGGAGCTTTATAGAAGTTGCAGATGTAGCAGAAACTTTTAATCTATATTAATGTAATCTTTCTATATTTAATCTAAAAACCTAAGGACCTAATAATCGTGATTCAGTCTGATTTATTTCCTAAATAAT